GTGATAGGGATTTGGGGATTCATAGGATGGTAAGTACACAATAAGTAAAAGACAATTGGCAATGCATGTTTTGAAACACACGTAAGGGAATACACTAATCTAAAGGAAGGGGAAAGACAATAACATGCTGATAATGTAACTTAACTACAAGTTTCACAACATAACCGTAAGTAGAAGCAATCTAGAAATAAGAGAAACTGAAACAATAAGAGAAGCATGTTGTTGTTGGAGCTTTAAATTAAAACTAAGACATACCAGTGAAGAGAAAAGAAAGCAGAATGAGAGAACAAGAGAGCACAAATGATTAGCCTTGTCTTGCAGTCGGCTAACAGTAGCAAATAGCACAAGAAAGAGAGAGAGAGCAGAGATTTTAGTAAGAGATATAGTTTTTGAACCCAAGTGTTCGTGTGTGTTAATGAAAGACTTAGGGTATTTATAGTTGAAAATAGGTAGTAAAATAAGGTAAGAATCATAGTAGCATAATAATTGAGGAACTCAAAATTAATCAATTAGAAAATCAAGGAAGTATTCCCTTAAGTTAAGGGAGCTAATTCAATCGGTAAGAAACAGCAGCATATAAGGAAAGAAAAAGAAAATTAGTACAGGACTAATAAGGAAAGAATCAAGGTTCAGTACGCATAGGGTAGTCAATTAGGACTAGATTCAGAAAAATAAAGTACCATAGCAGATAAGGTAATGAAATCAGTCAATTTAAACAGACGAGTAGAATTTTAGGGTTTTAAAAGAAAACCCTTCAATCAAACCATCAAATAAGGAAATCAGAATCAAATCAAGAGAGGGTCATGATTCTATATTGCAACATATAAATAGAGAAGAACAAACAGATGTAGCAAACAGGCAAGGTCAACCATATCGACAGAAAGAAGCAAGAGATGAACAAATCAAGATGAATAACAATCACACAGAGGTGATACAAATAGGCTAAAGACTCAGTAGAAAACCCATTCGAAGCATGGTAACCGACAGAAACTTTAACAAGATCAAGCAGTCATGCTAACACACAGAATAAAACAAAGAGGATCTAAGAAATTAGGGCTTTTAACAGAGTCGAGTTGAAAAAGCATTAAGAACATGAAATCAGTCAAGGTAACAAGGAAAGAGGTTTAATCATGAAGAAAAATCGGTTAAAACAAGTGTAGAAGAAACCCTAATTTTTAAAGAAAGTTCAACGGTTTAAAGTTGAGGATCTTTCAGAAGAAGTTCGAGAATAGTGCAAAACATAGGAAGAAATAAACTTAAAGCGTTAAAAATAGCACGGATCTAAGAGATTCAAACGAGAGTTAGGGTTTCAAAGGAAACCCAAATAGAAACGAAAGAACCTGTTGTAAACTTCACAGATAGTAACATATATGGTGTGATTTTACCTAAAATCACACCGGAGAAGCCATGAACAACAGAAGAAGAAACCCTAGATCCAAATCAGCATGGCCCAGGATCCTTGAAGGCCTCAAAGATGATGAGCAAGGTGATGGAAGACCCATTGGAGGCTTGGGGTTGAAAGGTGGTCACCGAAGATGACCGGAGAAAGAGGCGGCGGTTGAAGATTGATTAGGGTTAGGTTGAGAGAAAAGAGAGACGAGAGCATCTAAAGGCAGTGGGGGTTTGGAAATGAGTAGGGTTAGGGGGTCGTTTAGGAATTAAAAAGGAAAGGGTGTATGTGGACCGTTGATTTGGGAGATCAACAGTTAGGATTCAACCGGGTAGGTGGGTTCCGGGTTTGGGTAGGTGTTTATGGGGTTTGGATCGGGTTAATTGGGTAGGAGATTGGGCTGGGGAGTGGTCCGATTTGGGCTACAATTGAAAGCCAAATCTGGCTATTATTTAAATAGCCACTTTCCCTATTATAATTTATAATAAATAATAGGTAATTTATGGAAAATAATTTAATGTGCCAAAATGATTTAATATACATAATTAACATTTTAAAAATATAGGGACCAATTTTACGCATATAAATATAATTATACCTTAAGTGGGCTAACATTGCATTATATGCAATTTAGGTTAAAAAATACTAAATGTAATTATACAAATGCATAAAAATTATATTAGCCATATTTTGGCATAAGTATAGAAATTAAATGAATAAATAATTATATCAATAATTTGGGAAATAATTATTGGGGATTTTATGAATAAAAGGAGAGAAAATAAATCAATTTAAACCCTTAAAATTTTGGAAACAATTATAAAAACCTTGTGCATGCTTATATATGCATATATATGGTATTTTGAAGGTATTTATGTATATTTAAAATATATAGGGAAAAATTGGGTATCAACAGATGTCATAACCTCAAGGTACGTGTACAGATTCTTGTGTTAGTTATTGTCATTAGTCGTGTGAGGCTATTGTCGTTATTGATGATTGTGGTCCTGTGTGGCGTTAGATTATTAAGCTTCTACGGGAGAGTTGGTAGTAGTGTTGTTACAAGGGCGACCCTACCAAAAGTTATATAGATCCTGGGGAGTTGAACATTCGAGGACGAATGTTTCTAAGGGGGGAAAGATGTTACATCTCGCATTTTCGTACGTTAAAAGTTTCATCTTCAGTTAACCGACGTAGTCTTGGGGATGAGATTATCTTGAGGTTAACGTATTTACGCTAATTATAACAAGCAATAAGTAAGTGTCAAGAAGGATAAAGGGTACACGAATTAAAGAAAACGAGTTTCGTTGAAAGTGGCCAATTTGGAATAAAATACGGGTCGAGTGATAATACCCGATAATTGTAGATTAGTACCATACAAGGTACCATATGGCCGTGATAGTATGATGTATAAAGTATATTAAAAATAAGTAGAATTTTAAGTAATTTGAGGTAATTTTTTTAAATTATACAGGTAATTGATTAATTATTGGGTAACGGGACATTACCAATTAACTAATAAGTGGATAAAAATTAATAAATTACACCCCCCCAATGTGGCAAGAAGCCACAAATCTAGAAAGTGACTAAGTAGTCATATAGTCCTATGTGGCTACCTAGGAATTATTGGAATTTAACAATTAGAAGGTCTTGTTCCATTCATTTGGACAAAACAAAATCAAAAACGTCAAAATTCCATTTTTCCTAGTTCAAAGGCTTCAAGGAGAAGAAGCTTAATTCATTCCGAAAAAACTTTAGAGAACAGAAGCTTGATTTCGTTCAAGACTTCAAGAACAAAAGCAAATTTCAATCCAATTTTTTGGGGGTTCTAAATTCAATCTACGAAGGTTTCCAATGGAAATTGTTAGAATCGTAGCAACGTAAAATTTTGCGGTTCCAAAAGAGTACGGTGCAATCTTCAAGAATATTATACGGAGTTTTCCCTACTCCAGGTATGTTAAGGTCATCCCTTCTTTCTTCTTGGCATGGTCCAAGTTATACAGAAGAAACGAGCAAACACACAGTTTTTATAAACGACTCTATTCATAAAAATACTAGGGGTCTTTTTGGTCTTGATTCCCCATGTGACATATTGTTATATCTTCTGTTCATGAGTCTCAAAATAATACACAGTTGATAAAGTTTATCCGAAAAGAATATTGAAATTTTTAACATATTTTCATGCATGCATGTACATTGACCCATGACCAGACGGCGTTATATACGCGTATTTATATGTATATATTTATGTATATGGGATATGGAAAAAAGGTTACGGCGTTATATACACATCACCCACCTGATCAGTTGTTATATGTTGATGATGTTGCCCACAGTGGCCGAGACGATATGATGGGATGCCCTCAGTGGCTTGTTGATATTATGTACACTCATACCTATGCATGACACGACATTTATACGCACGTGCATGATATTACAAATGTTTCAGAATTTACAAAGTTATTCAGATTTACAGATGGATTTCTTTATTTCATGTTTCACCTATGTCTTTTACGTACTGATTTTCATGCCTTACATACTCAGTACATTTTTCGTACTGACGCCCTATTTCACGGGGCCTACGTTTCATGCCCGTAGGTGCATGTAGACACGCTGACGGTCCCCCTTCTTAGGATCCTTGATCAGCGAGAGTTGGCGTGCTCCACTTGATCCGGAGTTGCTATATATATGGGTATGATGTGGCTCAGTCCCGTCTTTGTACAGTTATATTTCTATTAGAGGTCTGTAAACAGTATGTCTAGTTGGATAGTACGTGGCCTTGTTGGCTTCCAGTTTTGAGGTATATAGTTGTCTATAGCAGCCTTATCGGCTCGCCCTACGTATGTTGCACGTATATGTATGTATGCCTTTTTGGGCAGGTTTCCTTCATGTATATTATTCTCGTAATTCAGCACATGTTATTGAGGTTTATATCTTAGACGGATGCTTAGGGGTGTTTGACAAGTAGGTCTCGGGCATCCGTCGCGACCCATCGGTTTGGGTCGTGACAAAGTAGAATAGAGATTATTCTTAATCTCAACATTATTTCTACTGATATTAGTGAATATTCAGAGATTTTAAGCATGTTAAAATTTTATCCCACTTCGTAGTACTTATGTATAGAACTAATATGAAAAACATACTGAAAGAACTTTATTAAATGGAGTATATAATTAAATAAAACAAAAATAGTTGTGTATTGGAAAACAATTAGGGATTTTGTGTGGGTTGGAGGAATTACGTTTAAAAGACAACTAATTTTTATTATTTAGTATAAAAGAACCATAAATAGAGAACACAATTACTTATATTACTTTTAGTTTGACGTTTCTTAAATTGTTGGAGAACATTTAGTTTCTTTAAAATTTAGTATATTAATCAAGATTAATCTGCTACGACTATTGGTGACTAAGTAATTATGTGAGAGTCTAAACAGTAAGATATTTAGATAAATAGCAAAGCTAACATTGTTGACAAATTCAAAGACCAAAAGTTTTTCTTCCTTCATACATGCATAGAAGTCTTTCTTATCCTTTTTATCATATAAGCAACTAAGAAAGTAATAGTGATAAGAAAATAAATTAACTAACAAAAAGTGACATCTTTAATATCACTAAGTTATGAAATCAACGCTTTTCTGTAATAAGTATATTCACATATCTCACAATAACTATGAGACATGTTTATTTTTATACACATTTAATATTTACTCTCGTGTTACTTTTTTGTTTTCACGTTTTTTTTTCCTTTGTGCCAGAGAATTACGAGCGGACACGTGCATAGTAAGGATTGTGACCCGCTTTGTAGCTTTGTTGTATGCTATCTAAACAAAGTAAGGATTTAAAATTATACTAGCAATTTAACAGAATAACCAAAAACTCCTCTCAGTAAAACCAAACTACATCTTTCTGGTTAGAGCATCAGATTTCAACTATGGTGGTCAAGGATGAGGGCAGGCATGCATAACCATTCTCAGAGAAAAAACATGTAGTGCTTCATCTGGCCTTCTTCTCAGATGATGATTTATCGGTTGTTTTTCCAACATATGGATATTCCGGAGAACTGATCCATAAACCGCCCAGTATGATTAAATGAACACAGAGGAGGAGTATTGATGAGTAACTGTTGGAGGGAAAGACATTCCAGCAAAACTCAACAGCTGCGAACAACAGTAAACTGCAGAACAGCACTAAACTTGTATAAATCTGGAACAGAAATTACCATAAAACTAAAGCAAATAAAGAAGCTTGAGTATCAAACTGAATACCGTAGGAGGGTTATAAATGGCGCTTTCCACAATAAATATGGTAAGCTATAAAAGTACCTGCAAACAAGATCTAGGTCAAACATCAATGGTTTTCTCTTAGTTCAACTGAAACCTGACATAGAATCCAGGAAACCAATGAAAAGGGAGCAATTTTCCATCTGCTTGGCTAATAATACTAATCAAGGCTTTTTATGCCTTGTTCTGGTGCCATGTTAGTAGGCAGAGTGGGGGACTGAGTTTTGGGATCTTCTTCTCTTCCTCTAGAACAGTGTGACTGATTCACCAGAGAAAGTCCATAAAAGTATGCTTAATTACTCAATGAGCAGTTTAAAAATAAACATTTTCTCCCTTAAAAGCAGGCTGCACGTCCCCAACGCTTTGGTCTAATGGTAAGAGTGAACAGCGTTATGTGAGTTAGACCAACATCGGGGTTTGAACCTTGCCACAAATAAAAAGTCTGGTGGAAAAAGGTAAAGGGGCGGGCCCATATCCACCGAGTTTCAAACCGTGCGCCACTGGCCCTTAGAGATTTTTCGGTTATCAAAAAAGGAAAAAGTACAGGCTAGCAGTCCTGTTAACACCTTCAATGAGATGCTGAGGAATCTGAAATTATTATTAGGCTGGTCTGGAAAGCTCCATTCATTTTAGTGACTCACAATAATTAAGTTACAACATGAGAGTTTACCATTAAAATGGATACCCATTACACATTTCAGTTAGTGTTTGGTTCTTCACAAAAGGAGGTTTACATTAGTCCTCTTCAAATATGTGATGTACTTTTATGCGGAGTTTCCGCCAGAACCACGTTCAATACAAACATGAGATTATAAAAGCATGCATCTATCATAAGCTGAATGTCAACTATTCAAAGAGTCAAACTAAAGTATCATTTACTAACGCTTTTCAAATATTTCCTTACCAAGATAACTATTAAAGCTTTTCAAGTATTTAAAATGAGAAAAGTTGCATATTTTAATACTTTATGTAGTTTATTTTATTTTGAACGAACAATTTAGTCATCTTTAAACTCAATCTGGAAATATTAGTCAACCCTTAATAACAACTTCAAGACATTTGATTTAGGATAGAAGCTTCTTTTCAATAAAAAAAAAACCGTGGGAATGGAGGAGGTTGAGATAGAATCCACAACCTAAAGAAAAAAATGAGCTGCAGAACTAACCAGGAGTAAAATTGGTAATGGAGGGATCGGGCACATATAATGCCAATGAAATTCCCGACAAACATAGTCGTCACAATATCTGAAAATAAAATAGACAGATCCAATTCAGGAACCATAAATCATGCCAAATCAAGCAAAAACTAGTGACACTTTAACAAACTTGATGGTCTTTAAGTAAAGAGAAACCCAAAACAGATATTACTTACGGTCCGTTTGAAGGACCCTGTTTGTTGGAGACGGATCTCTGCGAGCAACTCTAAGCTTCAGTTGAATGATTTTAGAGTGCACGACAGCAAACAGTCCACCTTCATGTCTGCAAAAGATGAAAAAAGCAAATTGAAGTCCAATCTCATTACCTGTGTGTAGAGAAGAAAAAATTATGTGATGTTAACTTGCTTCTACAACTCAAAATTAGTCAGTAAGTTCTGAATTACATTATGGTTCCCGAGCTTACACTTGAAATAGATACAATTATCATATTATGACTTTTCATCTCCCACTTCAACACTTTGGAATAGCAATGCCACTACATTCGCGGTCATAATAATATGAGAAATACTCACCTACACCATCTGTAATGAGCAAAGATCAATAGCAGACTGAGATGAGCAACTAGCAAGGAGAGAGCAAAAGCTTTAGAAACAAAGATTTCTTCAGGAACAAATTTGAAGTTAACAGACCTGCAACAAAGCAGAGAGTTATGATAAACTGTATTTTCTAAAGGAATTGAAGAAAAGCACAAAATGAGCATAATCTTGAGTAACAGATGGTAGAAATACAGCTCTCAATGGTCAGATTATTTTAAAAGGCATGCCAAATCAACTTAATATCCAATTAGGATCAGACTAAACTTAGTTTGACGATCACGGTAGGCCTAGGGTGAGAAGTGGCCTATTCACGGGAAATGAGGCAAATATACTTTTGCTGTCTATGTCAAGCGAAAGAAAATGAGCCCCAAACTCCACAGGGATGAGACAGAGAAGGAACTACACCAGCAAGTAAGAACATGCATCTCCAATATTTAGCAGACAACACCGATGTGTTGTTTAATGGCATTTGAGGTAAAAATTGCATGAGTAATACAAGAATGCTGTTTCATGTGATGCTAATGCATGTTGATACAAAAGTTTGTCAAGTTGATAGTTCCTCAATCTCTCATCACCATAGTTTTTCAAAAATAATTCCACAGGTAATAGTATGGGGATGTCATAAATATCCTGGGGTAAACTGTTTATTTGTTTTGCGCAACAAAAGAGATTTATCGAGATATAAAGTAAATAGATAACTAAATCAAGAAACGGAAGGCAGCAATTTTAAAGTGCATGATAAAATGGTGCCTCAGAGTACCAAATTTGCACACATATTGTTTTTAAGAAGTACCAGAAGTGGATGAAAACACGACCAAGATCGAAAGCTTTTGATATATATGAAGCTGGATGTGACAGGACAAAAGGCAGCCCAATGACAATCTGCACCAATCACCAATCATCACGGTCATTGGTAAACAATTTGTTCAGGAGAAGCTCCATCCAACAGAATTATACTTGTCACTTGACTCACCTACCATATGGACCACAAACTTGTAAGAGGATCTCTGAGGAAATAAAATTATAACAATTAGAAAGATGCTCAAGAGCATCAAGGATGGAAGATACAGATCAAGCAAATGTAAAAAGATACAACATCATGTGATTCATGATTAGCAAAAGAAAGTGATTCCTTGATCCTGGAGCAACCACAAACCTTCCCTACCGAAATAAGGGAACATGGTAAAACTATTTCCCAAACAACATTAACAAAGAACACAACTGCAGTACTGAAGACAATAATAAGAGTAGAGATGATATATATAATGCAACACAGCTGAATATCATTGCATTAGGAATTAGAAAGAGAACTTGGAGAATACCCACCTGCACTAATGCAGCACCTGCTAAAGCAGATATAACTCCAACAATATCCATTGCCTGTATTTCAAGTTTCCACCATATAACACAAAAGGTAACTCAGAAATGCAGTTCAATGACCTACTGAGTTGTAATAACCTAAACTGTCCCAATAGTATACCTTCACCATCAGGAGCAACAGAGGTGGTGCATACAGGAGCACATTCATCTTTATAGAAACAGCTCCACTGTACGAAAGAGAGGATCATTGATCAATCTTAACTGATGGCTAATCCATTGATACAAAGCAAAATTAATCAAAAAATAAAATCTCGAAGCTGAGGAAGAATATACCTGAAAATTACCAACCCTAGATGCCATTTTTGATAAATAATTGAGATCAATGCAGCATGGAGGAGAGTAGTGGCTAAACAATCATTAAATAATCGAAGAACAAAGATAGAGTGAACTCTTTTAGACAGAGAAAGCAAGGAAAGAGCCCACCAAGGTACCTGCACCGCAGTTTAATCGTCAACTCTATTGTCCATTAGTTGTAGCATATCTTAACTCCAACGAAAGTGATTCGACAATTTAAAAGATTTCTACCAAGTACAAGTGGATGAATTCTGAAATTAAAGAACTTAAACTACAAGTTTCAAGGAGAAAGCTAAATTAGAAAAAGAGAGAAAAAATGATAAGAAGAAGAAAGTAACACATATTGTAGACATTTTCCTCACTACAGTAAAAACTAATCCCGATTCAGTATGAAAAGATATAGATCCCCAAAATTTGGTCGAGACTCCCCTTTATGAGAGATGTTTAGACAGATTTTTACAGATGTTTGGGTGCTAAAAGAAAGGAGCAATAGAACTTAAAGACTTTCGACCTATAAGTCTCATTGGTAGTATCTACAAAATATTATCCAAGCTCCTAGCAGAGAGGATCAAAACAGTTGTTGTGAAGCTAGTCTCAGGTGAACAAAATGCCTTCCTGAAGAACAGGCAGATTACAGATGCAACTCTTGTAGCCAATGAGTTATTAGATGAAAGGCTAAAAAGTGGTTTTCCTGGGATTCTATGCAAGCTTGATATAGAGAAAGCTTTTGACCAAGTCAATTGGGCCTATCTATTGGCAATGCTGAAGGAAATGGGGTTTGGCGACAGATGGATCAGGTGGATTAAATTTAGTCTCACTACAGTAAAATATTCCATCTTAGTGAACAGATCTCCAGTTGGCTTTTTCTCTCCACAAAAAGGGATTAGGCAAGGAGACCCTCTCTCTCCCTTCCTTTTTATACTAGCTATGGAAGGTTTGAGCAAAATGTTGGACAAGGCAAAACAGATGCAGTGGATTGAAGGGTTCAGGGTGGGCAGAAATATAGAAAATACAGTAACAGTTTCACACCTACTCTATGCTGATGATACCTTAATCTTCTGTGGGGCTGAGAAATTGCAGCTGCAGTATCTTAACCTTACATTGCTCTTATTTGAAGTCATCTCAGGGTTACACATTAACATGTTGAAAAGTGTGATCTTTCCGGTGAATGTTGTGCCCAACTTGGATGAACTGGCTAGCATAATGTGTTGTGGCATAGGCTCCTTTCCAACAACTTATCTAGGCCTTCCTTTGGGTGCTAAATACAAATCAGCAGTAGCTTGAAATGGAGTAATTGAGAAAGTGGAAAAAAGATTGGCTACATGGCAAATGCAATACCTCTCCATGGGTGGAAGGCTAACTCTAATCAACAGTGTCTTAGACAGCGTTCCAACTTACATTATGTCCCTCTTCCCTATGCCTAGTAAAGTTCAGAAGCATCTGGACAAAGTAAGAAGATCTTTCCTTTGGGAAGGCAACAGTGATGCTCACAAATTTCATCTAGTGAAGTGGTCTAAGGTAATACAACCAAAGAAGCAAGGGGGTCTGGGAATCAGAGATTTGACCAAGCACAACAAAAGCTTATTAATGAAGTGGTGGTGGAGATACGGACAAGAAACTACAAGCTTATGGAAGGAGGTAGTGAATGCCAAGTACGGGAAGCAAGACCACTGGAGAACCAAACAAAACAGAGCTGCACATGGAGTTGGTCCCTGGAAGCACATACACAAACTGAAGGATGAATTCTTTCAGGATGTCTCCTTCAAAGTTGGAAACGGGAACTTTGTTAGTTTTTGGAAGGACAAATGGCTTAACAATCATATCCTGAAAGACACTCATCCCAGCTCTATCAGATAGTAGTTGATCCTAACTCCACAATAGCACAAAATAGGGCAGGGAACACATCGGATATTCACTTCAGGAGAAACTTACAAGACTGGGAACTAGGAGAATTCTTTGATCTTTATAGAATTCTGGAAAGCACCACAACGAACCCACAAGTCACTGACAAACTAAGATGGGGCAGCTCTAGTAAAGGGTCATACTCAGTCAAGGAAGGGTACATCAATTTGTGCGCGCAAAATGGAATGATTGAGCACTGGCCATGGAAGCTGATCTGGAAGACTAAAATCCCCACAAAAGTCACGTGCTTTTCCTGGACAGCCCTCAGAGAAGCAATTTTGACACAAGACAACCTGTGCAGAAGGAACTTCCAGATGGTAAACAGATGTTATATGTGTCAACAACAATTAGAATCAGTCAATCACTTGTTTTTGCATTGTTCAGTAGCTGCTGGTCTGTGGCGCATGTTCTTATCAGTTTTTGGCATAAGTTGGGCAACTCCTCAGACAATAAAGGAAGCAGTAGAAAGTTGGAGTCTTTGGAAAGTTGATAGAACCATCAAGAAGATCTGGCAGATGATTCCAGCATGCATTTTCTGGTGTATTTGGACAGAAAGGAACCGCAGATGTTTTGATGGCATTTCAACTCCCAGCTGTTCACTGAAATCCAAGTGTTTAATGAATCTTTTCAGTTGGAGTAATTTAGCCCCAGTAAATGATGCAATTTCCCTTGTAGATTTCATTAGTTCTCTTACTTTAGTTTAACAAACAAGTTGTTTGATCTTTGGATTTAGCTCCCTGCTCCAATTGTTGTTTTTGTACTCAGGAGCTAGTCCAAACTTTTTTGTAATTATCTGCATTTTCTTGATGCCATCAATATAACACCTTACTTCAAAAAAAAAAAAATTACAATTTCCTCTGAACTACGCATGCTTAATTGTGGAAATAACCTGAGCAACAACTCTTGATCTTCTAGTATAAGATTTGAATGATATCGATAAAAGGTCTCACCGGTCTCAAGATTGACTATTTTCTTTCTTTTTTTTTCTTCTCAGAAATACCTCTCAGCAACATAATAACTTCTTGGCTTCATCATATTTTTCCTCCAGAATCCCGTTGAAATAATTTTGATTTACTGTTTACCAAGATACCTTCAAAAAAAAAGGTCATCTATTGACCAGCTTAAAGAAGATGCATTGTGTCACCCGGTCTCAGTTGATGTCTGGAAACTCATTCTTTTGATAAGGTTTTATTCATAACAGCACAAAGATTGTGTTGGAGATCAGTATATTGTGGCAAAAGCGAGAAGACAAAAAATACATCCCTGTCTAAAACTGTAGAGACTCATTCTTCTTAAAGGCAATTTCAGTGACATGAATAAAAATAGACAGTCAACACTAACGAATTTCACCACTGTTCCAGTCTTATAACAGTCACAATAACAACTCTTTTCAGGAATCTATTAGCTTAAAAGGTTATCCACAAAACTTGGAGGAGCCACTCATACATGAAGAGAACCTACCACATCAGTCTTCAAGTAGATGAACACGACAATTGCTAGATCCAGCATGTAGAGAAAGCCAAAAAGAATCTGCACTGACATGAAAAGGTAGAAATCAACAAACTCGCATGCAAGTTCAAGTGACCATGTACTGAGGACAAAACAGAGTGTAAGGATTATGCAATGACAAGCTGAATATGCCCATTTTTTTTTGATAGGACATATGCCCACATTATCTGAAAAGTCCCTACGATTCAACTAAACAAGTACCTATAACTTATACTATACCATGTGAACTTTCTTAAACACGCAAAACCCAGCAAAGGTTAGTAACTTTTTCCTCATACTGGTATCGACTGCTAGGTTCCACCATCCAAACAAGCATAGAGAGTATATTTTGAGATGGAACAAGCATAGAAAGTCTGTCATTGTATTTTCTTTAATTAGCATAGAGTTAGAGGAAATACAAATATTTGCTTCAGATTGTCACTGTCAGAAGGGGAATCTTGAAGCAACGGTAAAGTTGTCTCAGTGAGACCTACAGGTCACGAGTTCGGCATCAGGGTAGGTTGCCTACATCACACCCTCTTAGAGTGCGGCCTTTCCCGGACCCTGTGTAAACGCGGGATGCTTCGTGCACTGGGCTGCCCTTTTTTATTTTGTCACTGTAAGGAAAAGAAACACTCCAGCAGATGGTATACTACCTATAGCTTTCCAACAGGACGAGACGGCCCGGCCCATCCCGGTTCCGGTCCGGCCCACTAAATGTTAAACGGGACTGGACCTATATTAAACAAGATATGGGATGGGACGGGTGCCCATTTTGTCTCGGTGGGCCGGCCTGTTAAGGTCCCATCTCGTCCCGCCAGCCTGCGTG